GACACAGGGAGGTCTCGTTAGCGTTGGCCGCATCCTTCTTTAAGCACCTGGCTCCATTTGCTCTAAGCATAGTTCTCTCCTGCCAAGCTTCACTCCTCACCAGCCACCCGCATTCCACACTATCGGATGAACTTTAAGCCTGAGTATGCATGGACGCTTGGACGTGTTTATCGTTAGTAACTTCATCTCCATAAGAGCGTTCTGTCATTTCGATTGTCTCCAAGTTGAAATCTCACACATTTGAACCTTCTTACCTTCTCCGGCGGACGTCGCTTCGCGACTAAACAGCTCGGACTTCGACTTCTAAGTTATGCACGGCTTTTCAAGCTGCAGGACTAATTCGTACCGTAGTGAGGTGATACGACTTGTTGTCTTCTCGCCCTTGTATGTCAGGATGGATGACTGGCAGGCACCGGCGCTTGCGACAAGCTTGTGCTAGTTTCAGGCTCTCTTTTGCCCCAGATCCACGACACCTTATGCCTTCCAAGCCTAGAGCTCCAGGCTTGGAAGGCACATAGTTTCATTATACGGCATAGAATGGACGACAAAAATTGCGCCGCACTTAAAGTCTGTGCGTTCAGTTCATTTGACGTCTGCGGAAGTCTACATAGCTGGTCTAGGCTCTAGGGTGACCGCGCGCGTTCGCTTGGTTGCTTGGTTGCCCTCCAGTTACGTGGTTTTTCGCTTCGCGAAGCCAGTTGCTTGAATTTCACATCAAGACATGCCAGTATACCGCGCCTGTGGTTTAGTAACGGATCGTCTAGCTTGCGGACGACGTTAATAATCACAGTTTTGCTTCCATCTCCCATCTAACTTGAATTCGACCACACAACATTCGCAAGACAGTCGTAGAGCTGTAGCAATCCACCCTGTTTGCGAGCTAGGTCGGCATAACTTAACGGTCCAGGTGAGTATGGACAGGTATTGGACCAGCTTGTCCTAATGACCTTTAGCTGTGGACCAGGAAGACGGCACGCAAGATGGTCGAGTGGCAGAGTCCCGAAGTGCTTGCTCTGATCGCGTACCTCTTCTCACTGAACACTTTGTTCTGCCTTGGCTTCTATGCGTAAGCTGCTACTTTACACTGGCCCTCTTCATGAGACATACCAGTCCTGATCCGCTTCGGAAGCTGGTACTTCATCTTATCGCTGCCTAAGGTCGAGTTCCGCCTCGTGACGTGCAAGACTAGGTTTCAACTGGTTCATGTAAGTCATTCAGGTGCCCAGCCTCTGGACGTATGCTCACCAATCATCTGTGCTAAGGTTTGTTACCTAGTTGCACGCTACGCGCATCTTTTTTCGTCTGTTGCGATGCAAGTCTCGAGTTAGTGCCCTTCGGATTCAAGTAGCTCACAAGCTTCACGTTTCGTAGAGCCGTGGTCTCAAACATGGAGGATCCTCCTACTAGACACCGTTCTGGTTTGGGTAATGCCCTAGGCTGCGCAGTATTTCATCTTGCATCTTGCTGACGTTCCGAGGACTTCACACAGCTCTGATGAAGCTTATTGCAGTATGAACCTTTACTTTGTGGATGACTATCTGAACTTAATTCAGGCGTAGATCATGGACGACCTTGCACTGGCTGCGTCCAGTGGAAACCTTGCTTTACGCGCGTCAGTCCCTTGTGTCGTCGGTCTTTGCACGGCTTCCGCGAATATCTCACACCCGTTCGCATGCACAGAATGGCACTTTGGAACGACAAGCGAGCTGTATTTTGGGGTATTTTCAGCTTGTGTGTGGGTCATATGACTTACGCTTTCATCCGTGAGTGGATACTCCGGCGATGTAGTGTGCGAAGCTAATAAAGATGCCAGTGGGTACCGTAATAGTTCACCACAAATGGGACCCTGTTCATCATATATATGTCGCTGACTCCGGCCTTATACGCAAACCTTTCACTGCCTTTTTGGTGTTCAGTCAGTCTTTTCAACCCCAACGTGAATTCCCTCTACTAACTGCTCATGGATCAACAGCAATAATTTGGGACGTCTCAATCCTAGCTCTGACCGTTTCGGGTATGCACAGGTTGAGAATGCTCGCGCCAGTATCGCCGCTTTGGTCAATGTTGTTGACGCAAGGGGCAAGATATGTTATAATCACGCTTCTAATCTATATATCCATCACTGTGTGTATACCTTTTGCACTCTCTTTTTCCGTCGTAACAAAAGGGTCTTGATAGGTTCTGTACATTCTGAATTTAAATGGTGAGTACATATTTGTAGTCCGGGTCTCATGATTTTGCCATGCTAATATGCAAAATGTGCTGTAGAGGCCATGAACATCTTCTTGGTGCCGCCAGGTAAGGTTGTTGAATCGATCTTGTCAAAGATAAACTGACTATATTCTCATTGGTACTGCCAGGGTGCTCGATCAGGTATGACGCCGCTTGATGTACAAAACAGGCCGATAGTGTGAGCTGTTTGCAGTGTTATCGTGTCCTCTTCGGCTGTGTCTTCCTTGCTGAACATGAACGAGGAAAGCCAGAAGGGGTATGTGCAGGTATGTATGCAGATTTATTAACGCTCATAATATTGCCCCATAGCATGGGTCCCGCTTCTCAAAATGTTCGCTGCCAAAGAACGCTAGACAGCAAAGGTGGTAACATCTTTTCGACAATTATGGATCCGTACGTTTATTCTGTTCTAATGCATTGTCCTTTTGTTCATGCTTGTTGCCCTGCAGAGGAGAATTGCGTACATCAAGCCAGATAGACGACTCGCTGGCACTAGCTGATTATGCAGAGCCGGGCATGTCAGTCCAAAGGGTCGAACGGGGGTTGGAACCATCGAGGAGACATCTTTGTTAATCCACAATCTAGACATGTGTCTATCAGCTAATATAAAGTGTTCGATAGCCTCTTAGCCCTTTAACGTCGCAGGGAGCAGGTTACTGTGGCTGGTAGCCCCTTCACCACTTGTGTCACCGTCCGTACGTGCGCGTCAAGCCCGTTCCGCCTCAAGAGTCGTATCATGTGGTCACATAACCAGAACTAAGTTCGATATCAGCCACCTTGCACGGGGTATTGTGAAAGCGTACCAACCACCATTCCACCCTCGGTGGTTGCCCAGAGCCGCGAGTGTGCTCAATCGCGAACGGCCATAAGGGCTTGTTCATGAGCCATCGCTTCTCGTGCACTGGGTATCTCGCAGCCTCTGCTTTGCCCGCCCTACACTGGATCAAGCGGCGCAGTGGTGGCTGCGGAAGCGTGTGCTCTTATTTACCTTCTTGCCACATGCCGCGGTAGCCGTCCATGAGGCAGCGTATGGTGTGGGTCACGAACGGGACGTACTCCAGCAAGGTGCGGGGTCGGTCTGCACGTGTGCAACGCCGCCGCTTGGCTGCAAATGTCATGGCATGACAGAGGGCGCTCGAGTCGTGGCTGTGGGCGGTGGGGATGACCCCGAACGGCTGGGCTCAACGGCCAACAGCACAACTGATCCGAGTGCTGCTAACCGTCCGCACGAAGTGGAGAGTGGCCGAATTCCCTTAGGGACACGCCTAAGTTCAACACAACATACTGAATGCAAATATTCCGACTGCTTTCCCCGAACAAATATCCAGAGCTCCGAAATGATACACTCCTATACTCATACAATAAAGTACATAGAGATACACATTCCGCAGGTACCGGAGAGCACATTTACTGATGAATACCCAGCTGTGGAATGGTGTCAGCTCGATGTGAATATCGAAAACACCATCCAGGTCATACCTTCAAACCAACTTTACTCAGAGAAGCAGACAGACGAAGGAGTTCAGGCGGTCATTATAGTTCGTGTTGCCGTCACCGAGGTCGGCGATACCGGGGTTCGTGATGTCACCAAGACCATCGCCAGTGCACGAGAAGTTGCTGTCATTGTCAGCGAAGGTCAGAAATGCATCAAATCGACGGGAGCAACAGCCAGGAGACATACACGTAGGCGTCGCAGACCCATCCCGACGGCGGCCCGATGGCAGACACGTCGTTCTGGAACCCACTGGGGAAGACGACGCACTGGCTGGCGCCGAATCCGATGTTAGTGCAGCTTCCCTGCCAGTTGGCATCGGCGCAGACGAATAGGTTGCCACCGGCATCGGCGGCGCGGGCCTGGACAGTCGGTGTCACTCTCACTGGAACGGTAGGGCAGAGGGGAAGAAGGAGCATACCTCGACGGGGGAGCGGCGGCATTCACTGTGTGTCGGACCCAGCTATAGAGGGCGCCAACAGGTTTGTTCAGGGGAGGTATGAGGATCTAAGCACAGGGTACTGTTAGAAGGCCTATGAAGAAGAAGGATGCCCATGTACAGATATCTCCGACTATATTATTGTAACCTGTGCATGAGTGTGTGGGCGGTGTTGAGGGCAGCTATGAAGCTTGGTGCTGAGGCACCTGCTCAGACCTATCTCACCGCATGAATAGCAGAGCAATAATGACCTTAAATAGACTAGGAATGCAGAAGTGAAAGGAGATAACAAAGGCTTCATTACATTGCTTCGGCAGAGGTAGTCAGACTACTTACAGCCCAGCTAGCCGGATTTGAACGTATGTAACACTTAGCTTGTTACACCACTTGTAAGCAGATAACAATAGTGCTTATCAGCCTTCTATTCGGGGCTATGATCATATAGAGGTACCCAGATAGGCAACTTCAATTCATGCCACAAAAATGCCAAAATATAATATAAATATTGATTTTCTCTTCTACGCTGGCTTGGCTCCCTTCCCTCTTGCCCCCGGCAACTAGTATATCTCAATCGCCATCTCTCTCACAAACTCACCATGCCTTGTCGCAGTGCTCAGAACGGTCCCGCGCCACCGCCACCACTGTCTGGCGCCTTTGCCGGCCTTACGCCTGCGGAGTGGGCTGCATACAGTGCATTCAAGCATGAGCT